TATTTATATGGTAATCAAATTGTTGGTTTTTGGATCTCTGAGGTAGTTTGGGTTGCCGATACCCGAAATAAACTAAAACTCGGACGAACGTCCACTGCTGTGGATCCGTCTATAACAACATAAGCAAAGAAAAAGTGCATTGGATTGTTTAATAGAACAATTAAACTAGCAATCTTGAAAATTTCAATACCAGAAAACTAAATGGCGACAATTTTGTAATCTATTAGAGCAGAAAGAAAACAAAGAGTCTATGATGGAGATAATAGCTATTGACGAACACACTTTGGCAGGTATCGCGTGTTTCTATAGGCTATAAAAAGCAACAATGGATGGATAATTCCAATGGATGATGTAAATCCCAGAGTACACCCAATTGCTGGTTCCTACAGGTAAAAATGGGTAATGAGTAAACGTACTTTTAACAGATTTTATATAGGTGCCGTTTTTCTCCACCTCATCCTGGTCCTAAAAATTTGAATTTTTAAAAGCAATTAGTTTGCGGTCATCGAATTAATTTTGTAGTCAATCTTTGAAAATGATAAGTGGGATCTTGGCGAAACGTCTCCGAGACCCTATTCGGATATCAACAAAGGAACGGATAAAATGAATATTTATAAGAGGATAGAGTTCAGTCATCGGTTAAATTAAATGTGCAGGTGCTGCAATAAAGTCCGCTGTTCGTAATACACAGTTCACCACCAAATCAATAATTGCATTGCATTATTTGCATTAACGTCTTCTTCCTTTGCAACAAACGCGAAACCCTTAATTAGCACTTCGGTTATTCTGAATTCTCTTGACTTGGTGTTGCGACAAAATCTTAAGTAACTCATTGTCTCCAGAGTAATCAGTATTCAGTATTCAGTATCAAATTTATTTTAGATCACGTCAGGAAGAACCGCCTTAGGCAGATTTGTGATTGCGGTACAGTTACTTTTATAGCTGCGCGTGCTATATCACCTTTACAGCATTACAAGGAGTAGTTGTTGAGGTAAGTCTTTTGCATCGTTGTCGATCTTTGTTACTTGCAAAGGAGATGTTTATTGCCTTAAATATATTTATCTAAATGTATATAAATTCGTTGTAATGTATACTTTTGTCACAATAATCTTG